TCCAAAGGCCTGGGGATGCCAGGGTGCGATGGGAGCGCGGTGGGAGCGAGGTGGGGGGGTATCGGTAGGTTTAAGGCCAGCAATTGTCGCGTGGGGAGGTCCCAAGAATACTGCTCCAGAGGCCTGGGGATGCCGGAGCGCGGTGAGGGCGTGGTGGGGGGTATGGGTAGATTTGAGGGTTAGAAGTTGTCGGGTCGGGGGTCGCAAAAAACATTGTTCCAGAGGCATGGGGATGCCGGGGCATGGTGGGAGCGCGGCGGGGACGCGGTGGAGAGTATCGGTAGGTTTTAGGCCAGAAATTGTCGCATGGGGACCTTGAATTTTTCCAGAGGCTTGGAGATGCCGGAGCGTTGTGGGGGGCGGAGGGGCGCTGTGGGGGGTATCAGTAGGTTTTGGACCCGAAATTGACGGGTGAGGGGTCCCAAGAACACTGCTCCAACGGATGCTGGGGCGCGGTGTGAGCGCGGTGGGTTCGCGGGGGGGGGCATCGGTTGTTCCAGAGGCCTGGGAATGCCAGGGCGCGGTGGGAGCGCGGTGGGGGGCATCGGTAGGTTTTAGGCTAGAAACTGTCGGCTGGGGGGTACCAAGAACGTTTTTCCAGAAGCCTGGGGATGCAGGGACGCGGTGGGAGCGCGGTGGGGGGCATTTGTAAGTTTTTGGCAAAAACTGTATCAAACAGTTCCCAGGCAGCTTGGAAGTCACCAAACGTCCTAAAACTGTCAAAGACTTGACGACGCCACAAACGATGCCCCCAGGCTGAGGGGCCTCTGAGGAGCGCTCGGCCCTCCGACAGGAACTGCCGAAAGCCGCCAGGGCGGCCAGAGCTCATCCGCGGCCCGCGGCCACGCCCAGCGATCACCGCGCGGCGGGCGCGTGGGCAAACGAGGAGCGTGGGTGTGCGCGTGCGGGTCGGCAGGCGGCTGGGCGGGCGCCCGGGCCCGCCCGCCCGCCCGGACACGCCCGCCCGCTGGGGTCCGCTCGCGCGGCCCGACCCGCCCGTTTGGTAGGATGCGCGCGTGCGAAGTCTCAGCCACGCGCAGAGGGGGGGAGGGGGGAGGGGGGAGGGCTTCTTAGGAGCACCTCTGCTTCTCAGACGGCGCGGGCCTCGTCCATAGAGGTGAGGCCGGCGCATTTTGAGAAGCAGCCTGCTTCTAAGAAACCCTCCTCCCTCCCTCCACCCCCGGTCCACCCCCCTGCGCGCGCCGTCAAAACTCGGTCGTGCGTCACACTCTGATGTTCCGGATGTCCCGCTCGTCCGAACCGCCGCCCGACCGCCTTGCTGTCAGGGCACCGCCGGTGTGAACCGACCTGGCCGCCCGTTAGGGCCCGCCCGCCTGATCCGATCCGCTTTTTTGGGCACGCGGTTGGTGATTCGATTGCGCATCATACTTTTATGTCCTGCCCGCCCAGCCGCATCATGTTTGAATGTCCCGCCCCGCCCGACCGACCCGCCAGCCCGCCCGCCAGTTAGGCCGAACCGCTCGCCAGTTAGTGCCCGCCCGCCCGGCCCGACCCGCATACCATACGTAAGTGATCCGCCTGCCCGTTAGGGTCCCGCCCGCCGCCCGACCCGCCTGTCAGGTCCGCCCGCTCGATCCGACCGCCTATGCTGCACGCGCGCGAACGCGATGACGCATCGTATTCTAATACCCCGCCCGCCCGATTTGAACCGCCCGTTAGGGCCTGCCCGCCCGACGTGACCCACCCGCCAATGTCCAGCCGACACGACCTGGTACGCCCGACCATGCACAGTGGGTCAGTTTTCTTTTGATGACCCACCATTCCAGCCTGAACTCACCCGCTCGAGTGGTTGAGCACTAAAGTGCATGTGTCTCACACTTTAGTTTTGCGCACGCCCGAATCGACTCGCCCGCCGGATAGGGTCCGCCCGCCCACCTCCCCCGTCAAAGTCCGCCTATCCGACCCTACACCTCCTCTTTCTCCTCCTTCCTATCAATCTCCGTGTCTCTGCGAGCCTCTCTTCCTCCTTCTCCTTTTGAATTCCCTCCTCGGCATGGTCGTGGCCATTCCCTCTGTCGTACTGGTCGCCATCGTCGCCCTCACTATCCTCGTCGTTGTCGTCGCCGCCGTCGTCGTCGCCGCAATTGCCGTCGTCGTCGTCGTGGTAGCCGTGCCCGACCGCGCCCGCCGGGCGGTCACCTTTCATTCCCTGGTGATCACATCCGCCCTGCTCGACCAGTCACACAGATAGGGGGTCACATGCGAACCCTACCCCTACCCCCCCACGATTTCTGAGGGGGAGGGTGGGGTTCACTTCGCTCGGGAGCTCCCGAACGAAGTGAAACTCCCCTCCCCCTCAGAAATCGTGGGGGGGTAGGGGTAGCGTTCGCATGTGGCCCCCTAACAGACCCACCGATGCCGCGTGAATCTCCAAGGGAAGCCCCACCAGACCGCGCCCGCCTTCATATGGCGCTTCGTTCTTTACCAGGGAGCGCGCGCGCCCTTCTCCATTCTACCAGCCGAGCCACCACTAGACTCGGGCGAAGCTCGGGAACTCTTTCAAATTGTTTTGTCGTCTGGGATGTTATGATTCGTCGCCATGGGGAGGGCACAAAAGGTTCAGAACGTATGGATCGCGCGCAGGAAAAGTTAGCGGCGCCACAGGTCAACTTGAGCACGTTCCTTTTCGACAGAGGCCGACAGTTGTCAATTTGGGAAACGCGGGGCGCCGAAGGTTGACCAACAGTTACTAACGAATGGGACAGTGCCTCATGTTTGAGAGGGTCTGGCCAAGGGGGCGAAAGTTTCCGACAAGTAGCTGCCTGGAGAGCCCGAACAGCTCAACATGTTCCAATTATTAGGTGCAGTTTGATGAGGTTGCGTCAGCGTGTGTTAGTCCAGAGAGTGTGACACCCTGGGGGGAGCCCGACCTTCGGTGAGGCTCCGGAAGCCCTTATCTCGCTTGTTGACGGCTCCGCTGCCCGGCGAGGTGCCCCGGAGGCCGCAAACGTCCAAAGAATTCCCGTCGCGTTTTCTTCACGACGCGAGCGTGTCCAGGAGGAACTTCGCTTAGGTGGAAGGGGGAAGAGCGGATTGCGAGCAGGAACGCGAGGACGAGGAGGCATGGTGACAACGAGGAGGAGTGGTGGCATCCACCTCTGCAGGTGAAGGACAGTGTGTGGCTTGGGTGATGATGCGGACAAGGGAGGAGGAAGAGGAGGAGGAGGAGGAGGAGGAGAAGGTGGTGGAGAAAAAGTATGTGGAGTAGCGGCAAACTCTTTTCCTGCAGAGATCTCCGCCGTTCGGTCGTCCCCATTCATTGTTCCTTTACCGCTTCGATTTCCTGCAAGGCCGGGAGGGGAGGGTCATCGAGGGCGCCACCCAGCCTTCGGAGGAGCAGCAGCATTAGGATGAACATGACGAGGAGTTGGACGCAAGGGTGGGATATTCTGAGCACGGGGGTGGGGGGGAGGGGTACGAGATCGAAGAGGGGGCATGGGGATCTCCTCAGTGCACCGTCCATCTCATTGAAGGGGAACCCCGTGCTTCCCAGAGGCATTCCTGGCCCATCTTTTGGACGGCCGACTGCTCCTCAAAGGGTTTTTTTGTCCTGACCACGACAAACAGCAAACGCGCGCAACATGGCGACGTGCATGTTGCCGCTCTTCGTGCTGCTGCTCTTCCTCGTCCTCTCCTCTCGCTGCGAGCGACGCTTCAAGTAGATTCGCCCTCCCCGACGGGGCTGCCTGAGCCCAGACGTATTGTGGCCTGCCTGCCAATGCAACCCTAACTAACGCTGCCGCGACATGCCTTACCAAACTGAGGGGGCCGAGCGATCTTGCACCGTCCCCGGGTGCGTCGTTGAAGCCTGATTCCGCGACGCGGATTCTTATTGTTGTGTTGTTTCCGTCGTCGCCCAACCCGCGACCCACCCGAGACCCACCCCGCGACCCACCTGCGACCCACCCACGGTGCTTCGGCAAAAACATCGGCACTTGCGGCGGGCTCCTTGTGCGACGTGTTAGAGAGATCGGCGCCTTCGACGGGCCTCGTCAGAGCCTCGCAGACTGCCCACGACCCTGCCGCCCCCTCACGGTTATCCGCAACTGCGGGGGCCATGCTCGAGGCCTCCTCGGCTGGGGTCGGAGTAGATAGGGCAGGATGATTGCTCCGCCTCGCCAATGCGGCTCGATGTGGAGCCCGATTTTGTCCACGCGGGTGTCGCCGATGCACCGCCGACGTCGCCGATGCATCGCCGATGTATCGTTGATGCATCGGCGCTGCACTCGAACCCCATCTGGGAGGGTACGTTCTATTCCTCGTCGCTCTCGTCGCCGTCGCCCTCGTCCTCTCATCCTCCTCAGCATCCCTCCCCATCCCTTCCCACCCCTCCCCGTCCCTCCCCATACCTCGACTTCCTTCCCCTCGTCCTCCAGCCCTCCCCATTCCGCCTCCTCCTCCTCCTCCTCCTCCTCTTTCTCTTCTCCTCCTTCTACTCCTCCTCCTTATCCTCCTCCTCCTCCTCATCGTCCTCATCCTTTCCCAGACACCCGACTCTCCAGTGTTTTCGATGCGTGGGTCCCTCCCTGCAGATCTGGACCACTTTTCTAAGGTAGCTGATTGTCCTGAATCGTTTTGCAGCAGTCCCGAGGGCCCCTGGAGGCTGAAAATAGCCCCAAGCTGGCCACTTCAATATTTGCCGAAGCCTCGGATCTCTGGGCCTCCTCCCCCCCCGTCTTCCTACCCCCCCTTTTCCTCCTTTTCCTCCCCTTCCTCCTCCTCCTCCTCCTCCTCCTCCTCCTCCTCCTCCTCCTCCTCCTCCTCCTCCTCCTCCTCCTCCTCCTCCTCCTCCTCCTCCTCCTCCTCCTCCTCCTCCTCCCCCATCATCCCCCCCATCCTCCCCCTCCCCCTCCTCCTCCTCCTCCTCCTCCTCCTCCTCCTCCTCCTCCTCCTCCTCCTCCTTCCCCCCCCTATTGCTGCGCCACTGGGCTCCGTGCTGCCTGCACGCTGCTCGTGGTGCCTCCCCGCGCCCGCTGGAGGAGAGCCCCGCCGAGGCCGAGGGCGCCTCGCCGTCGAGGGGCCGCTCACCGTGCAGCTCCGCGGGCGCCGCGGAGGACCCGATCTGCCTCAGGACCAGGCTCCCGGTCTGGGACCAGGAGGGGCGGGGTCGCAACCCCAGAGCTCCGAGGCGCCACAACAGCGCTGGAGCCGTCGGCTTTGGGCTGCTCTCGGCCCCCGGGGGGGGGGGGCCTCGACAGGCCCGGGGACCGTCGGACAAACGGCTCGGGACGAGATGCAGGCCCTTATAGGGACATGTTCCAGACCTCTGGGGGTCCAGGGGCATCGCCACCACAAGGAGGCTGTTGGTGTTATCTCTGGGCGCTTCACGGCCGTTGCCTGTGCCAGCCGTCCCCCCCAGGTAACAGTAACGATCGTTCGTGTTTCCCCAATCAGTGTTTGCACCGAAGGGGTCCGAGCGGAAGTTGAAAGATTTGGCGAAAGTTTCCAGCCGATTTTGGTAGCAGGCTGGGTTCCCAGGTTCTTGGTTCCGGGTTCCTGGGTTCCCGGTTGTTGGTTCCAGGCCGACTTCGGTGGGTTTGGGGTTCCCCAGCTCCCGGGTTCCCGGTCGATCTCCTCAGCGAAGACCATCCACTGATTGGGGCTTTTCTGTGGTGTAATTTGTTGTTGGGGGGGCTGCCAGTGCTCGCATGCGCCCTGCCAATGCGCGCAGGCTTTGCGCAGGTGCCCCATGCCCGCCCAAGCGTTATACCCGGGGCCCCGGCCCTCCCCGCCCGGCCAACGATCGTTGCGCAGTTTTCTTTCCCCAGTCGGTGTTTGCACTGCAGGGGTTCTTTTGGGCCCTGCAGGCCACGCCGCTGGGGATGGGGATCGGCTCAACGGTAGTTGCTCGCTAGCGGACGCTGAAAGGTTTGGCGAAAGTTGTCCGCCGATCTTGGTAGCAGGCTGGGTTCTCTGGTTCCAGGTTCCCGGGTTCTCGGTTATGGGTTCCGGGCCGATTTCGTTGGGTTCTGGGTTCCCGGGCTCCCGGGTTCCCGGTCGATCTCCTTGCGAAGACCATCCATTGATTGGGTTGTTTATTTGGTACTTTTGTTTGTTTCTGTGCAGTGAACAAGCTCAAGTTGTTTAGGAGCTGAATTCGTACTCCCGGGCCATGGAGAAGCGAGCACCAGAAACAGCGTCACATCTCTTCAAGTCGACCTCGCTTTCGTGTCGTAGCGTGGACCTGCTTCTTGTCACTGGGAGAACGGGGTATCGGGCTCTGTGTATTAAGGGGGCGATAGGCTGAGGCGTGGAGACAGGTGCACCTCCTGTGCACCTTCGGGGTCTTTACAGGGCACCCCTGTGGCCCCGAAAGTGTACGAGATGTGCACCGTTCTTAACCCTCCCATTTGTTGCCCCCCCCCACACACACACAAAAATAGCCGGCAAAGGCCCAGGGAAGCGAGCGAAGGGGGCGGGTCTCCTCGACCCCCGAAATTTATCAGGGGGGAGCGGGGTCGGCCATCCTAGAACCTCGAGGGGCAGCCAAGGACCTTCAGGGACTGCCTGTGACCGCAAGGCACCAGAGGGGAGACGGGGAGGGGAGGGGCGGAGGGAGGCCGAGGCGGGGAGGTGGCGGAGGGAGGCAGGGCGAGGGAACAGGGGGCGGAGAGGGAGGGGCGGAGGGGGCGGGAGCAGAGGATGTGCGCAGAGGAACTTGGGGGCTGAGGGAGGGCGGGGGGGGGAGGAGGGAGCCGTCCTCCTCCCCCTCCTCCTCCTGATCCTCCTCCTCCTCCTCCTGATCCTCCTCCTCCTCCTCCTGCTCCTCCTCCTCCTCCTGCTCCTCCTCCTCCTCCTCCTCCTCCTTCTCCTCGTCCTCCTCCTCCTCCTGCTCCTCCTCCTCATGAGACGGGGCCACCTTGTCCAGGAGCCCGTGCTGGTGTCCAGGCCTCGCCGAGATCTTTGCTGGAGCGCCCCACGGCGATGACCGACCCTCCAGCTGGGAGGAGGAGGACGACGAGCGCGGAGGGCAGGTGGATCGGGAGGGAGGAGGAGGAGGTGGACGGGGGATGAGCCAAATGCGGACAGGGGAGACCTCGAAGTCGCTCCCGTTGTTGGGACTCCTGCGCACGAGGAGGTGAAGTGCCTGGTGCTGAACTTCCACAACGTTTCCAAGCTGGAGGTGTCTCCGAGAAACTTCATGCTCGTCCACTCCTCCGGAACTGGCGATGACCGAGTAGTGTTTCAGCACGCCAGGGTCGGGCCCAAGACGTTCTGCATGGACGCGGTGGCCTTAGATCGACGAGAAAAGACATACAAACATGAGCATAAACTTCCGGAGGTCCGTACGGATTTCCTGGATCGGCGCTTGGTCGCCCTTGGCTCGCTGCGGGGGTCCAGCGCCAATCCACGAACTTCGCGCAGACTTCCGAAAGTTTCTTTTTACGTGGCTTCTGTTGTGGTCTGGAATCTCTATGATAGGACTCTGAGCGTCGATCGGGGCCGAGGCGGTCCATCGGCTTCTCCATCGGCAGGGTCGCGATTGCGCCTTGGGACAGATCGGTTGGCTGGGTCAGTATCAAGATCGGGCCACAGATGATGTGGGGCAGCGTTAGGGGATCGCAGCCATTGGAGATTCGGAGTTTGAGGATTTCCGGCGTGGTCGTCGGTTCCCGGAGGTTTCCCAGCCTCGGGGTGCGTTTCGGCACCTGCGCCTCGCCGAGAACTCTTCTGGGGTTGCAAGGATCTTCCCGAACGGCCGCCAGAGACCCGAGCTGTGACCCGAGAAATATCATTTCAGGGGCAACGTTAGGAGGGGATAGGCTCAGGAGGTGACGCATGGACCCGCAATCGCCCATTGATCGCCGACAGGGGCCCGATGGCCCGCCCTGCCCAGTAGCGTGCGGATTCGCCATAAGGCTCCTCCCCTATGGTTGCCCCTCAGAGCAGGATCGGGCGATGGATGAGCGTGGGTCAAAAACGTGCCTCTCAGGTAGGTGCACCTCTTGGCGTGGTGCAAGCTTTCGCCATTGGCATGGCGTCTTCAGATTGGGACTGAATCAGAGGCAGCGCGCGCTATGCCCCCAACGAGGGCAAGTTTTTCCCGTTGCAATGAGGCTTTATTGCAGTTCCAAGTCGAATTCCAATGATAATGGTGTAGTAATCGGAGACTTCTGCACGCGCAGGAGATTCATTTTTTGTTCGCCTGGGCATTTGCCCGTGCCCGGCTTTTCGCAAGAGTTCCCGCTGTTGTTGCCGCTGTCGAATCGCGCATTTTCCTCGCGACGCACTGTTCGCGAATGTGCAGCAGTTTCGAGCCCTTGCGCAGATGTTGAAAATAATCATCACAGATACCCAAATTGAAAGGATGGTGCC